GTATCTATGTGCTCATCTATCTCTCTGCAGAGAAAGATAAAGCAAATGTTGCAAAAATGTTGGTGAACCTCCACAGAGGGTACACAAGCGTTCACTGTAGTAGTTCTATTGTAGCAGTCTTTCCATTTTCTATAGATTTGAAATTTTTCAAAATAAAATGTGAAAGGAAAAGTATACATGTCACCTGCTTGACACATTTACCTGATAATTTCAGTATTACCATTGGCCTTCATAAAATGCAAAGTCATACTTGCAGTTACAGCTAAACCTTCTGTTTACATAAATAAATTAACTTAAAAGGCCTTAGGCAAGGAAGCTGTCATGTTAGAGAGAGACAGAAAGAAAATGAGAAAGATGAATTTTAGTTAAACCAGCATCTTCCAGATAGATATAAAAATATATGAAATTGAACAAAATATAAATAATATACAATAACATACTATCGTGTTTCAAAACCTCATATTCAGCAGATTGGCTGTGATTTCAAAATGACTCTGCATTTTTTTACTGATGACTAAAGGAAGCTGCCTTAAATCAAGCAGTGTATGCCATGTGAAGCCAGACTACCTAATAAAATCTAGGCACACATAGTCTAGTGTTGATAGAAAAAAAAAATTATTTGTAACCACCAAAAGTAATAGTAAGTGACTCGTCCAATTTTTATTTCATTTCTCTAAAAAATGAGTTTGCATATAGACTTTCTTTTTCTGGTAGCTTAGGCTCAGATACGGATGTGACAGAAGAGCTATAGATCCAGTGCGGGTGGCCAGGTGCTTGGCCATCCTAGCCCCTCCCTGGTTCTTTCTTGTGTGTGTCATGTACCTCCCATCAGACTAAGCCTGTCAGTCTTGCAGAAGGCACTCTAGGATGCTGGACTTCAGGCATACTTTGTCATGTCTCTATCTTGAAGGTTAGGGGTTTCAATTTTATTTCTCTGTTTACTATTTCAGACCAATAGCATTTTTTATTAAATACTCTAAAAAATCTGTAAGTTTTTTCACCACAAATGTCTATTATTTAATGATCATTTTAAAAATTCAATGCCAAAAAAGGAAAAAAGTACTTAGAACAATCAGAATAATTATTTCATATCAGGACTCACCATTGGTCTCTGTTGCTGACAACTGGACTTCCAGAGGCAGCAGTGGCTGGATCAGCCTTGGTAAGCAGAGTGCATGCTGTTGGGCCAATACCTAGCCTCCGTCTCTGCCACCGTGGCCACACTGTTTACATGCTCCTTATTCTAATTCTGCTAGTTCCAAGGTGCCAATGACAAAGACTGGCTTCACTGAAATAGCTGCATCATTTTGTCTACTCGGTTGTTCAGTGACTCTTCTCGGGTGGATGTTTTCTGGAGGGTGTTAAGATGTGATACAAAAATCTTTACTCTTCTTACTCTCTTATGTCTATCTGCATGCCTCTATGCAGACCTCCTTGTCTCCAATCGTACAAGGTCCTTCCTTTCCCCTACAGGCCAGGCAACCGGCCACTACCCAGTCATGTGGATATGTTTTTTCTTTGGACTACTTCTCCTTCCACTCAAAGTGAATCACCAGGAGCACTCTTTGAAGCTCTGCCAATTCATAAGATTTTTTTTCCTCTCCACTATCTTTTGAGTCTACTCCTGCATGTGGTGGTAATGAAGTCTCCATCAGTTTAGTCTTGTCCCCACATGCTCAGTGGACCTACTCATAGACCAAGCTTGGCCTTCTCTTCTACATTGGTCATTTAGGGACCCTCACCCCCTGTCTGGCCATAGGTGTGAGCTGCGGGAGGGCACTGATAAATCTATAATAGGTAACATGGGCAACTGGGCTACCTGCTCAGGAAGCTTCCTCATGCGTTTTTGTCTTGCTCAGGCTCAATCCCAGAGGTACCAGATCCATCTGACAATGGAACGCTACTGGGCATGTGTGGCTTTATGATATGCTGGTTCTCACAGAATTCTTATATTGGGCAGTTCTTTATGATGGTCATTTGATGCCTCATGGTCAAGTGTTCCAACTCTACCAAGATACAGAAACACCCCAGTTTCTCAAAAACTATGTCATTCTCTGCTGCTGATGGCATGGCCTTGCTCCAAATTCCCAGGAGCCTGCATTATGATTCTCACACTGGAGCTTGCTGTTAAATCTGTACTGTATCCTTTGCTACCACCGCCTTGGAGACCAAGTCATAAGGCAGCTTACTGCAGAGCCCTTTCTCACTCTGAGTCCCAATCAAAGCTGGCAGCATGTTTTGTCACTTGTTAATGGGCTTGAGCAGTATTCTCAGGTGTGGAGTGTGTTATGTCCAGAACCCTCAGAGGCCAACCAAGCATTGGGCTTCCTTCTTTGTGGTGGGAGATTCAGGATGCAGCAATTTGTCCTTTACTTTGGGAGGGACATGACACCATAAGGCAAGCCGTGGATGCTAAAGCTTTACAAATTGGCAGATCCTTGAATCTTTATAAAGTTTGTCTTCTACCCTTTGGAGTATACATGCCAAGACCTCTAGTGTATTAGAGTATATTATGACAGAGGGCCAGAGAGTTCATAAAGCCCTGTGGCAATCTGTAAATGAATATTCTTGCTCATGAACATGAACAATTTCTGATTCTATTTTCTGGTTTGAATGAAAAAGAATGCTTCTTGCAAACCAGTGGCAGATACCATGTACCCGAGGCCTTATGAATCTGATCCAGTAATGACACAATGTCCAGGACAACCATATCAGGGTGGCTCCCTGATTGAGCTTATGGTAGTCAACATTTATCCTCCAAGATTCATCAGATTTCTGCAGGCACCAGACTGGCAAATTAAATAAACATACGATAGAGACCATCTGTATTCGTTTCCTGAGCCATACTCCCTCTAGAGATGCTAGCGGAGAATTTTTTCTCTCTTCCAGCTTTTGGTGGCTGCTAGCTTCCTTGCAAAGTGCGTGGCCACATCTCTGTCCTCCATTGTCACATTGCCTTCTCCTCTGGGTTTTTTCCTCTTCTGTCTCTTATAAGGGCATTTGTCATAGGGTTTAGCACCCACCTGGATAATTCAGGATGATCTCGTCTCAAGATCCTAACTTAATTATACCTACAGAGACCCTTTTTCCAAACAAGGTTACATGGACAGGGTTATATGGACATACTTTTGGGGTCCTGCTTTCAACCCACTACATCACCGCTTCTGCATCCTTGAGGTTCTGAAGGATGGCACCAATCTCTGTCATTTCCCCTAAGGCACAATATTATCTTTTCAGATAATAGTTTGAGAGAATTCTACTTGGCTTTTCCCACTATAAATAATTCTTACTCCACAGGCCAAAGACTCAATGTGAGAATTACTCCAACTGCCAATTATATCGATTTTAATCACACATTTGGGAACTGGGGAAAAGACCATTGGGCCTACTTGGGCTGGACTTTATTAGAACTTCAGTCCAGAAAATCACTTATCAAACTCCCTCCAAAACCCCTGCTCTAGCAAGGAACCATGATGACACATTGGGTCTCCAGTTAAAATGTCAGTTAAGACCCTTTGTCAGGTAGTACTCAAAATGTTTGGGATTCACTTTTCCTCAGTATACATCACCCAAGTAAATGGCCATAAGTCTCTTTGGGACAGACTGGGAGAATGGTTAGAGTATATATTTTTGTTGAAGAGTAGGGTCCTTCCTCCTAAGACTTGGACATGTTTTTAGTCAATAGATTCCAAATCTGAAAATCTGCTCAGGTCTTAGAATGAAGCAAGGGATAGTCACTTTTTACTGGGGGCAACTGCCATCAGCCTTCTTGCCTTTTTTGGTTGTAGATGCCAAGCAGCATCCTTGGTTCTTTTATTTTACCTCTAGGGATGTCATTCTCTATTAACTAGGTCTATAATTCCTCATAGGCCAATGTAATTATGGCCTCCCGCCTTCTAGTTGTCAAGTACTACAACCAAGCCTTTATAACTTTGGAGAATATAATGAAGGAATGAGCCCAGTCTAAGACTGCTTCTCCTACCATCAGCCCTGGCGCAGAGGAGCTGCCGCTGAGCTTATTAGCCATGTCGGTGCCCTACTCTCACCATGACATTCCACATGGCCTTGTATCCTCTGGACCCTCCCATGGAAGATAAGGTCTTCTGGCTCCACATAAAATATCCATTCCAGCTCACCCCCCTCTGTGAGGTTTTTAATTCTTTCATCTACCATCTTTCAGGGCACCTCAGGCATTGCCACTTTGCTCAGCCCTTGTCATCACCTTCTCCAGGATTCTAAGGGCCACTCTTGTAGTCAGTTTGCCCATTTCCTTGGTCCTTGCTAGAGTGTTAAGTCTCATGTCCCAAGAAAGTGTCTCCATATCAGTAAATTCTTGCTTATCCAATTCTAGCCTCCTTTATCAAGAATTCTCAAAAATCAAATCCTAAGTGTATCCCCTGGCTCTTGATGTTTGAACCTTTTTTTTTTTTTTTTTTTTTGCAATTGGACTCAACGTGTATAAAGACTGAGATGAATGTTTCTTGGGGTGCCAGTTAAGGAAAAATTTCCTCAATTTACAATCCGATCAATTTCATGTATAACAGAAAGATTTCTATTTCCAAAGGAACATATCTTAAGACTAATACAGAAAAATAAACTGTATATTCATATTTAAGTTCCCTAAATGAGTAAAACCTGTTGCTTTTGAACAAGACTCATTACTAATCTGATGTTCTATTTGGCATGTACCTATGATCAAAGAAACCCACTCCTCTCACATCACTAATCAATGATATAACCCTTGGCAGAATGTCTCACTGAAGACACAATGAGAGAAAAAGAGCTAAGGAATAACCCCTGATTATGCCCTACTATTACAAAATATCGATCACTAAACAAAGCATAAGGCACAAGCTTGTGCTGATCACATTAGCACATAGACATGCTTGGGCCACATGAGATTCCCTCAAAGAATTTATTGTCTCAAGCCCAAAATATGATTGTTCTAGAAGGAAAATAAGGATTCCCAACATCCTGTCCCAGGATTGTCATCTGGCTTGGGGTCTAGCACAATCTTATTGAACATGATTTTTAGGTGATCTTCTTTCTTCAAGACAAGATAAGATCTCATCATCAACCCAGCCAAGGCACTCCCAATACACCCATACACTTATACTTGAATATGTCTACCAGAGATGGATTCTGGAAATTATGCTGACAAGGTAGACACAAGTTTCCATGTACTCCATGCTGGATACCTGACTGACATAGATTGTACACGGACATACAGGTTGATGCAGTGAGTGAGCTTGTCCCAAAGCCTCATCTTATTTTCTTAGACCACTCCCAGTGTATCTTCTATTAGTTTGCCAGAACTAATAGAAAGCATGCACAAAAACAAGATTACTCATACAGGAAATTTATCGAAAGAAGCAGGGAAAAGTGGGATTGCTTTCAGACCACATTGCAGGTAGGACAGCTACAGAAGGAGAAAAAGGAAGAGTTTGGGTAGGAAGCATCTTGGACTGCAGTGAATTTCCCGGAAATTTTCAGCCTGGCTGATATAGAGCCCATGAGTCCCAAAACTGCCCCTTAGAGGAGACCTAATGAATGCAGGGATGAATTCCAGAGGGGCAGCAATAGGGCCATTAGGCAAATATGCAGCTCTTTTCAAGAGATATGAGTGGCACACTTTCATGGCTGTCACATCAATTATTAAAATACTGATTGATGAGAAGCATAATTTTGAAGTGGAGCTAAACTGGATTTGAATCCTTGCTCTTTAACCTTGGACAAGTTCTTGAACTTTTTTAAGTCTTGATTTTTTTTAAGCTGTAAATGGAGATAGTAGTACCTATTCCACACTGCCATGGCAAGTATAAAATGGGATGGTTATGTAAAGCCCTTAGTATGATGCCTGGTATGTAAGCGTTAGTTCCTATAAGCATAGAGATATGGGAGACCTTTTCATTGTCTGACCATATGGTTATCTCCTACTTCAGTAATATAATGTGCAAAATTGGGTCAGTCATTAAAAAAACAGGAAGTCCTTGTCACATAATGTGTATGAGAAATATGTATGGACCCACTTAACGTTGGTTAAGATAGTATGTAAAGTATTACTGATGCCATATGAAGGCAGACAATGTTTGTCGGTTAAACCTTAGTTTAGTATGTATAATTTAATAGTAAAAATAAATTTAGCTATGATAACTTTTATGACAAATAAAGAATAAGGTAAACTATATTTTTGGAGTTTCTTAATAATTATATCTTTTGAAAATTACAAGCCACCCCTCCTAACTCTGAAAATAACGTTCAATTGAAACAAGGAGTTTGTCATAGATGAGTAATTCATCCTGGTTTGATGGTTAATTTCAGAAATTGCAGAGTTTCATACTTCTTACTGTGAATTTAATATTAGATTGCAGATTTAATTGCTTTTACCTTTGACCTTTATTCTTGGATTACTACGAATGAGAATTCCATTCATATTTACTTAAAAATGTTTCATTTAAGTTAGGTTAACCATTTTAGGCCTACTCAGATTTGAAAAGCTTCTGTTATCAACAGTTATACCAAAGAAATCAATCCTTGAATACTGAGGAAAATGTCAACCAGGAAGCTAAGCATGATGTATAAAATATTGTATTGATAATGATATAATGGAAAATATGAGGAGACTTCACTCAAAACAATGACTGATTCTGTCCACTGGTGTCTAATGACTAAGAATTATTATTCCAAAATCTAAAGCTAATGATAGGCTTCCATTTGAATTATGTTGTAGGGGAAAATGTGAATAGAATTCACATAGGCTAGATTTTTCTAAGTGAAGAGTCATCCAGACTGATAAAGAAATCAGTTGTTTTTTATTGATTTAAAAAAAGAAAAATAGCTTTTTGAGCAATAATGAAGTTATTTATACTATTTTATTTATTATCTCTCTCTTTGAGGCTCACTTGGAGAAGCTAAAGTCATGCAGAGAGGAATAAACTACAGTTAAAAATTCCTCTCTCTCCATTCCACATTTCCTCCTTCTGTGTGCTCTGTGACTAGCAACTTCATGCTGGACAGTAGATCGGAGTGGGTGAAGAGAAGCTGGACTAGATGCCACATCCGGCCTTGTCCTTCTGCTCTGTGGCAGTCCCTGAGTGGCATCGTGGTTGGCTATAAAGAGTTGAGCTCCTGCTGCTCCCTTTTACCTGGTCTCTTTTATGTCACCCACACATTCACCCACGTGTCCTACTGACACATGCAAGGAGGGTGGACAGTTAGTGATTTTCTGAATCAATTAGCCTAAAACACTACAACTAAAATATCCAATTTTAGTTGGAAAAATAACAGGTTAAGAAAAGAAAAAATAAGGATCTATTATACTACATAAATTTTCTTTCAGAATTTAAAATTGTGTTGATGTGACCATGGCAGAATAAACCCAGGATGAAGAGATTGATTCTCCATGTCCTCTTACAATTACTGCCTAAGAATTATGATCAGGTTTTTCACAGTACTTGTGAGGCCTGAGGAATGAGTTTCAACTATCCTATATTTGTTATTAAACATCCCACATCTCCTCTCAACCTTAAAATCCATCTGTTTTATTACCTCTGCTATTTTTCTTATGTCCCAAATAAGGGGAACCTATGTCACATTTCTCACCAAATCTAACCTTCCGCTCTTTCAGTGCCCCCTCACTGGTGCAAACTGTTGTACTGAAAATGGTCACAGGGTGCTGAGACATTGATCTCCTTGGTTTCAAGGTAGCATGGGGCCAAAGTCTTTAGGCTGGTGTTGTGTAGGTGTGAACAGCATTGTGCTTTTGTTCCAATATGCTGCACAAGTTCTGACATGCTCTATGTGGGAGAGATGCGAGAAAGCATCATCATCCTGGACTTATCCTAGACCCTCTCTTCCCAGCTCTCCAGACCTCAGCCCCATCGTATTCTCTATCTTGAATTTTCAGTGTCGGCACTGTATCCTCTCCCTGCACTTGCAGCATAATCAGGACTTCCCAGTCTAACATTCCAATACTGAAATGGACACATACAGATGCTACTGCCTGATTCTAACTTCGTAAATTACAAATAATAACCAGAAGAAGGAAAAACAGAAAGAAAAGAAATCTCCATCTTCAATTAAAATTAGATAGATCTAGAAATTTAAAACACAGCAGTTGAGGAAGGGTGATCATGAGTAGAAAGGGAGCCTGGCAGAGGGTTAGAGAGAAGATGCCTGAGGCTGGAGATCTCAGACAAAACTCTCTGACTGCTGTTCTCTCCCTGGGTTTCCAAAGCAAGTGTCATATTCTAAAAGAAAAACACTAAAACAAAATATAGTCTTTGTCCAAGCCAATGGGGACTTGGTGCACAAACTGGCTGCGGGATCTTCCTGGGACTCATTTTGGCAAGGAGGATTGAAGAAGAAAGGAGGTAGACACCATCTTTGTAGGAAGCAGTCCGTTGGTGGGGCAGACGAGAGGAGAAAGTCTCTGCATGGGGAGCGGCTTTACCACCACTGGTCTCTGTGGTCTGGATGCCTCATCCTCTCAGTAAATCTATGTCATAGGGAACTGCACTGTGTACCAGGGAGAATTCCTGAGAGCCTTAAAAATTAAAAGCCTTAAAAGCCTTGGGCCTTCCCTCCTCAGAATGTCCCACACTGCTTGTCCAGGAAAAACTTTCCTCTTCGAAATTCTTCTACTCTAAATACAATGCACAAAAAGATTTTTTTTTTTTAAAAAAAGGAAAACCATAAAAAAAAACTGAAAAAAAAAACTGAAGGTGAAGAACACTTAGAAAAATGTTGGAAGAGAACAATGAAAATTTTGCCCAAACATATTTTTATGAATTCAAAAACTTAATGAAGCAAATCTGCTATACAATGGAATTCAAAGCAAAGCTTTATCACAGCATATCGAATGGCTTCTAGGAGAGAACTGCTACCTCTTCCATGATCAGGAAGCCACCAGCTCCTGAGCCATACTGATGAGTAACCACCCCAGGGAAAAGCCACCCTGAGCAGAGGCATCGCTCCCAGGACCAAATCCAGGCTTGCGCTGTGGTCCCCACCAGCAGAACAGGTCCTCCATGTCCTTCTTCCTGACACCCATGGTGCTGGTCATTGGACACTGAATTGCTGTAGAAAATCCATATACCACTACCTCACTAGTTAACCGAAAGAGCAGAAATGAAATTCCCATCTCACCTCTGCCTCCCAGAATTCGTATCTGGTTTGTCAAATCTGAATCACATCTGGAATCTGCAAAATGGAGCCTTTAGCTTTTCAGTCGCTGCGACACAGGGAAACAGCTAGAACGAGAGTAGGTAGGGCCAACTCATCCCACCCATCAGAAAATACTTAAAGGGAAAACCGAGGTAAATCATATAATCAATGAAGTTGGGGTAGTATAAGAAAGAAAAGGGAGTTGATACCATGTAAATATAATTATTTCTTCTTTGCTTGTATTAGGTAATCACATCATAGGCCACACAGAAAATAATATTTACATACCAAATGCAGCATATAGGTGAGCCCCAATCTTCTACCCTGCTATTAATGACACACCTATAAGCCACCATATAACATGCTGTAAAATACCCATTGAGAAACCCTGTTCTAAAGAATAAGAGAATTAAGTGCGAAGTGCTCTTCATGAATTTTTATCAAAATAATAGATCAAAATACCCTAGGTATTTATTTTACACATATACTTTCACGTGTAAAATGATATATTTATACAGATATTCATTGACACATTATTTGCAATGGCAAAAGCTTGGAACCAGTTTTTATTTATATGGGGGACTAGTAAAATAAATTATGATATATCCATAATATAGATAATAAAATGCAGTAGTTACTAATATAAAACAGCTTTCTGTGTACCAATACAGAATGGACTCTGAGATGCACATTAAGTGAAAGCAGCATGATGGAATTAATTTGTGTTTAAAAGAGACATGTCAGTACATATATGTCTGTTTCTGTGTGTTTGGAGTCTGTTCTAGGATCTTCCATCTGCCTCTCCAGATCTGCTCTCCACCCTTCCTGCCCTGCTGTGTATTCTGGGACATGACTGGATGGGCTACATCAGCGAGATTGCCTGTCCTCTACCTTCCTGTTAGCCTCCACAAATAG